TCTAAAAATTAAGAAAAAATTCAGGGACGTAGATCTCGACATGCTGATTCAAAAAATATAGCATGTTGATGGTCACGAAACAACATTTTCTAAAAAATCGCTGCGAAATGCGAATTTTTGAAAATTTCAAAAATTTCGAAACTTCAACGGTCGATACTGGAAAAACGGTTGCACCTATCAAAAAAACGAAGCCGGATTTGAGTTCTAGAGCTCGAAATCCACAAGAAAATGTATTTAGTTGAGTTTCGAAAATGTCAAAATTTATGCGAAATTTGAAGAAGAGGGGACCATTAAAAAATTTCAGTTTTAAAAAAGTTGTCTAAAAATTACGAAAAAATTCAGGGACGTAGATCTCGACACGCTGATTCCAAAAATATAGCATGTTGATGGTCACGAAGCAACATTTTCGAAGAAATCGTTACGAAGTGCGAATTTTTGAAAATTTCAAAAACATTTTGCCTTGAAAAATGAAAGAAACGTGTCAAAAAAGGGGAAAAGGCGTTCGTTAGAAAAAACTGGCAAAAAGGAAGACAAAAAAGATAATGTAAATGGTTTAAAGAATGTGACAATAAAAGAGTAATAAAAAGTCACAAGAGAGATAAAAAAGGCGGCCAAAAGACTACAAAAAACGCGACTAAAAAGGGGGCAAAAAGACATCAAAATAAAGGTGAAGAAAGGCATTAAAAAATGAAAGAAAAAACAAAAAAAACCCGGAGAAATGGTGAACAAAAAAGGAGCACAAAAAATGTGATCAAAGAACAAGCTGAGTAAAAAAAAGAGTAAAAAAGTCATAGAAAAAAAACGTCAAAAAAACACGCTAAAAAAGAGGCGAGAAACAAGCCACAAAAAATTGGTCTAAAGAGTTTCGACAGTACTTCCCTCGCTGTCGGAAACGTGACGACTGCATGCCTATTATGTTTTTTTTTTCGCAGTGGATTTCAAAGAATTCGGTTTTGTTGTTTCTGAGTAAATCAGTAAAATAAATTTACGCATTCATTAATTTTTTTGAGTCACCCTGTATATGCAAATCCAAAAAATATGAATGGAGTGATAGATCACAAGTACAGACTCATCATATTTTGTACATTTTAGATATGATTTATTCGGCAAACTTTCGAGCTGACGTCATCAATTTTTTGGAGGGGATAAGCAAATGTATTTTGACTAAACATTTATTATGCTCTTTATAACCTTAAAACATCTGCAAGATTTCAAAGCATTCGGTTTTGCAGTTCATGATTAAATCGAAAAAATAAATTTACGCATTCATTAATTTTTTTGAGTCACCCTGTATATGCAAATCCAAAAAATATGAATGGAGTGATAAATTACAAGTACAGACTCATCATATTTTGTACAGTTTAGATAAGATTTATTCGGCAAACTTTCGAGCTGACGTCATCAAGTTTTTGGAGGGGATAAGCAAATATATTTTGACTAAACATTTATTATGCTCTTTATGACCTTAAAACATCTGCAAGATTTCAGAGCATTCGGTTTTGTAGTTCCTGATTAAATCAATAAAATATATTTACGCATTCATTAATTTTTTTGAGTCACCCTGTATATGCAAATCCAAAAAATATGAATGGAGTGATAGATCACAAGTACAGACTCATCATATTTTGTACATTTTAGATATGATTTATTCCACAAACTTTTGAGCTGACGTCATCAAGTTTTTGGAGGGGGTAAGCAAATATTTTTTGACTAAAGATTTATGATGCTCTTTATAGCCTTAAAACATCTGCAACATTTCAAAGCATTCTGGTTAGCAGATTAAAAATTAAATTTCAAAATGTTGTTTTATAATTTTGATTTTTTTTCCAAAAATCTGGACGTTTCGGGTGAAAAGTCGATTCGGAGTTGTAAACTACATGTGTAGGACTATGTTATTTTATACAATTGAAAACCCATTTACTATGTACAATTTTGAAGTGACGTCATCGCATTAGTGGTGGGGATGATTAGACAAATTTTGGTTAGCGTTTTACCATCTACATGATATTCTTAATATAAGTACAAAATTTCACAACAATCGGTCGAGTACTTTCGGAGATTATCTGTCTAATAAAAATCCGGGACAACAGACGGACAGACGGACGGACAGACGGACAGACGGACGGACAGACGGACAGACGGACAGACGGACGGACAGACGGACAGACGGACAGACGGACGGACAGACGGACAGACGGACAGACGGACAGACGGACAGACAGACGGAAATGGGAGACCTATTTCTTCGTCTTCTAGGGGTCATGAAAGATCGAGAAAACGTAAAAGTAGAGAGTCGGCCGACGGACTCGATTACAATACTTCCTTTGCTTACGCTCGGGAAGTAAAAAGGGACAAAAAAACGACAAAAAAGGACTCAAGAAAACGACAAAAAAGGCGACAAAATAAGATAAAAATGACGAAAGAAGGGGAAAAAAGGAGCAATAAAAATGTCCAAAAAACAGAAAAAAGGCAAAAAAGCCCCATGAAGAAAAGGCGAAAAAAAGGCAACAAAAAATTAGTCAAACCATCCGTAAAAAAAGGCGACCAAAAGAGACACAAAAAAAGTGATAAAAAAAGGTGAGTACAAAAATTCACAAAAAGAGAGGTAAGGAAAAACGATCAAAAAACGGGAAACAAAAGAGCACAAAAAAACTGACAAAAAAAAATGCCAATAGAAAAAAGAGTCACAGAAAATCACAAAAAAAAACAACAAAAAAGGCGGGAAAAAATGAGAAAAATACGGCGTCCAAAAACAAAAGATCAACAGAAGGGCAATAAAAAGAGGACGAAAAAAACGCAATAAAAAAAATGGCGACCCTAAAGGAGTGTTAGAGAAAGTCACAAATAGATGACAAAAAAGCGGCAAAAACTGAGGAAATAAGGCGTTCAAAAACAAAAGGTGAATAAAAAGGCAATACAAGTGGCCCAAAAAAGACAACAAAAGAGTGTCACAATAAATGTGATAAAAAAGCCGACTTAGAAAAACAAAAAACAACATTTTGCCTTTTTTTCTTAATATGTGTAGACTTATTTCGACAACATGCTTTCAAGTATTATGTTGTTCAAAGAATACGATGTATATTAAGAAAAAAGGGAAAATATAAACCCCGCCCACCCACCCCATCTCAATTGTGATGATTTTTTTAATCTTATAAACTTAAAACACGTTTAAAACGATAAATTTTTGTAGGGAAATATGGATTTTGCTATTATGCTCCGCCCCTAGGTCTGGCAGCGAATGAAAACTTCGCTACTACATATTTAGATAGGGCAGGAATGGGTGGCGCCTAAACTTTGCCTTTAATTTTTTCTTGATATACATGGTATTCTTTGAACAATACGATACTCAAAAACATGTTTTTCATTTCTCGTGGAGAAATAAGGATTTTGCAGTTAAGCTAAAAAAATAAAAATAAATAAAAAAAATCATCACAATTGAGATAGGGCGGGTGGGCGGGGCTAAAATTTGCCTTTTTTTCTTAGTATGTGCAGACTTATTTTGACAACAAGAAACTTAAAAACTGACTATCGTGCTCCTCCTCTTCACAGTCACAGTCAGAAACGTACAGCACACTGGACTAAGCTAACAATATGAAGGTAACCCGCAACCAAATTTATTTTCTCCAGCTCACATAAATAATCTCGACGAGATTTAAATTTAGCCAAAGAAGGTACAGAATCTAACGTAAAGATTTATTATTGGTAAGTACACAATGATTTCTTTTTCCCCTCAGTTAATCGACTTCTTTGAAGCAAAGGACTGTTCACAGACTCCTTAAAGCAAAGTTTAAAGGGAGCTCAATAAGGAAAATAATACGCCTCCAGTGCTTGTGCCAATTCAGCGCATTCAGTTTTGGAAAACCTTAATTGCATTACGATATGCCGCTTCGTGGATACACAAAACTGCCTTGGATTTTATGTGATTAAGAAGAGTGTTATTCCACACTACACTTTTGCACCCTTTATTATTAACCCTGAAATAACGTCAAGATATTTTCCGGAAAAAGAAGTGAAAAACACGGTTAGAGGTTTCACGATGACGTAAAAACAACAAAAAATGCACAACATGGCGACACGCCTGTCCTGGATATTCCAGAAATTCTATACTTCCGGGATAAACCCTTTTCCCCTTCCGGCAGGCATTTACTTCCACAAGTAACCCTTGAATGTCATTTCTCTTGCGAGTTTCAGTTCAATCCCATCGTTCCTATTTCACCATGCCATGAAAATTATTGTTATATATTAAGTTGTATCTCCGTATCTCCAGACGTGGAAGGAAATACGTTGGCTTTGAAGTTGGACATCTAGTATATACAACGAATAAGTTTTGTGAGTTTGAAACCGAAGTTCCAGCAGAATAAATACCGAACCGAAAGAAAAGCCAAGAAGAAACAGTCTGAAGTGCTCCCAGAAATTCGTTCCTGCCGCATTCGAAAGTTTATTCGCAGTATTCTTAAAATATTTTATTAGAATCGGAAACGGGAGACCTACGTTTCATGTTCTAGGAGCTATGAAGCGTCGACAAAATATACATTACAATATTTCCCGGGAGTAACGTAAATATGTTTGAAATTTTAAGTACCACAGTTCCTATACTTCTGAATTTTGCATTGAGCAGATAAAATCGCATATAATAAGTATACTATTTTGTGTACTAATAAAATTTTATAGCCCTGTTAGTGTCATTTCAATAACGGTCGAACAACCTAGGGATGCTCATCGATCCTTCCGGACGACGCGTGGCGCTTTGAAATCTGCGTAAATTTCAGGGTTGTACTTAGAAAAATACACAGAAACAATATTACTATATCCGTCCCTGTCCATTATTTGCCAAACTTCTTTCAAAAAATTGATGACGTCGCAGATCGAAAAGGAAGAGACGATAATCATTTGCAGATCTTTTACACCAAACGTACAAATTTAATTAAATATTATTCAGCCTTTTATCTATGTATAAACATATTTTCGATAACCTTAACTGAACAAATCAGTAAGAACATCATTACAAAAGACGACATTGCAGAAGAGAAATTATCACGAAAATGAAAGCAATCATAACCCTGGTTTGTATTTTAACACTAACAAATCTTTGCCAGGGTTTAACACTCCGTAAGTACTTTTATAATGGTTGTTTTAAATAATAATCATAATAATAATAATAATGAAACTTCAGCGTCTGGTTTTAAAAAATGCGACAAAACGAAAAGCGACTTTAATCCCTGCTTATCGACGGCTATTCAAGGTGCTATCCAGCAGCTGAAAGAACCACAAACCGAGTATGGCTTGCCCACACTAGACCCTTTTGTTGGTCCAGACGACATGATTGTGGAATATGGAGACGAAACCACCGGTCTTCGACAAAAATACACCAGTTTTAAATTTAACGGTTTGACCGACGTGACCTCGACAAGCGCCTCGTAAGTACTTCGTTTTTCAAAAAATAAATCAGTACTTACAAAAGTACGTGAATTTCCAGATTCGACTTCAGCACTAAAACCTTGCATCTGAATATCACTTTCGTCGAAGTTGTGGTAGAATTTGACTACCAAATTTCTGGGTGGTTTATTTTGTATCCTGTTAACGTGTCCACTACGGGAAGTTGCACTTTAAGTAAGTCAAAGTCGGTAGAATTGACATATTTAAATATGCCGAATTTCAGTCAAACCGTTGTTCAAGCTGGCGTTCAATTTGGAAGAATACGAATTTGAGAAGCAAAGCCATTACAGAGTGGCGGGTGGCGGAAAACTTAATTTTTTTCCGGAAGCGATTATTTTTGACTACAAAGATATTTTCAAGAAAGGGAGTTTGACTGAAGAGATCAATAAAGGGATGAGCGAAAATTGAAAATCGTTACGGCGTACTGGCAGGGGATGTTTCCGAGGCTTTTTATGGATGTTTTTGAGGAAATTTTTGACGAGTTATTGAAGAGAGTGCCAGTTCCGGATTTGTTTGATGGTTTGTAGTAACAATAATAAGTTTTACTATAAAAAAATCAAAAACAACGTCAATAATAATTGTATATAATAGAAGTATCGAATCCTCCAATGCAATCTTTTTTTTTCTCTAGAAATTAAATTTTATGTATATCTAAATTATAAAATTTAATTTTGCGAATTTGACATTTATTTAAGATAAAAAAAGACCAAAAATCTCTCACCGAAAAGTCGTCACCAAAGCTGACAAAAAAGATAATATAAATGGCCTAAAGAATGTGATAATAAAAGAGTAATAAAAGGTCACGAAAAAGATAAAAAAGGCGGCCAAAAAACTACACAAAGGGCGATTAAAAAGGGGCAAAAAGACGTCAAAATAAAGGTGAAGAAAGGCATTAAAAAAGGCCAAAAAAACTTAAAAAAACTAGAGAAAAGGTGAACAAAAAAGAAGCACAAAAAATAGTCAGACAAAAAAAAACGTCAAAAAAAAAACGCGCTAAAAAAAAGAGGCGAGAAATAAGTTGCAAAAAAGGGACAAGAAAATGACAAAAAGAGCTCAAGAAAACGACAAAAAAGGTGACAAAATACGACAAAAATTGCGAAAAAAGCCTCGAAAAAAAGCGTCAAAATAAAGGGAAAAAAAGGAGCAATAAAAATGTCCAAAAACACCAAAAAAGTTATAAAAAAGAGCAATGAAAAGGAGAAAAAAAGTTACAAAAAAATGATAAAAGAACAGAAAAAAAGAAGGTAAAAAGCCCCCTAAAGAAAAGGCGACAAAAAAAGCAATAAAAAATGGGTCAAACCCTTTGTAAAAAAAGGCGACCAAAGGAAAAACAATCAAAAAAAGGGAAACAAAAGAGCACAAAAAACTGACAAAAAGAATGCCAATAGAAAAAAGGAGTCACAGAAAATCACAAAAAAAAATACAAAAACGGCGGGAAAAATGAGAAAAATACGGCGTCAAAAAAAAAAAAAAGATGAACAGAAGGGCAATAAAAAAGGGCCAAAAAAACGCCAGACAAAAAAAAATTCGACCCAAAAAAAAGTGTTAGAGAAAGTCACAAATAAATGACAAAAACGCAAAAACTGAGAAAAATAAGGCGTTCAAAAACAAAAGGAGAATAAAAAGGCAATAAAAATGAACCAAAAAAGACGAGACAAAAGAGTGTCACAATAAATGTAAAAAAACGACTTAAAAAACCACAACAAAGCGATTAAAGACTATTAAAAAAGGGGCGGGAAAAAGCAACAAAAAAGTGGACGAAAAATAGACAAAAAATGTCATAAAGGCGATGGAAAAAGGCGTCAAAAAGAGCCGAAAAAAGGGAATTAAAAAAGGTGCAAAAAGTCTCACTGAAAAAAAAGGAGACAAAAAAAGGTGGAAAAAAAGTACGGTATAGAAATAATAACCAAAAAAAGGGCAACTAAAGAGTCAGAAAGTCATAAAAATGACAAAAATTGTTAGAAACCGAATTAATAAGGGGTCCAAAAACAAAAGGTGAAAAAAGCGCTAATGAACCTTCCAAAAAAAAAAACACAAATGTTGAGAGGGAGTTAAAAAAAATGTAACGAAAAAAAAGGAGACTCCAAAAAAAAGGAACAAAAAAGTCACCAAAATCGACCAAAAATTATTCTAAGAACAGATGAAAAAAGCAATAAATAAAGGGGACAAGAAGAAGATAAAAAAAGCGAGAAGAAAAAGGACCCTAAAAACTCACCAAAAAATAGACGAAAAAAAAACTCCAAAAAAAAAGGACGAAAAAAAAAGGGAAAAATTAAAAAAGGGGACTCTAAAGATTTAAAAAAGCCCCCAAAAAAGGACAAAAATGCACTAAAAAAACTACTCAAAAAGATTCGGGAAAAAGCAACAAAAAACTGGACGAAAAATAGACAAAAAAGGTCGTAAAGGCGATGGAAAAAGGCATCAAAAAGAGGCGAAAAAAAAGGAATTAAAAAAGGTGCAAAAAGTCTCACTAAAAAAAAAGGAGACAATAAAAGGTGAGAAAAAGTACGGTACAGAAAGAATAACAAAAAAAAGGGCAACTAAAGAGTCAGAAAGTCATAAAAATTACAAAAATTGGTGGAAAACGAATTAATAAGGGGTCCAAAAACAAAAGGTGAAAAAAGCGCTAATGAACCTTAAAAAAAAAAACAAAAAGTTGACAGGGAGGTAAAAAAAAATGTAACCAAAAAAAAGGAGACTTCAAAAAAAAGGAACAAAAAAATCACCAAAATCGACCAAAAATTATTCTAAGAACAGATGAAAAAAAGCAACAAAAAAAGGGGAAAAAAATCAAGATAAAAAAGCGAGAAGAAAAAGGACCCAAAAAACTCACCAAAAAATAGGCGAGAAAAAAACTCCAAAAAAAAGGCCAAAAAAAGAGAAAAAACTGAAAAAGGGAACTCTAAAGATTTAAAAAAGCCCCCAAAAAAGGACAAAAATGCACTAAAAAAACTACTCAAAAAAGAGGCGGGGAAAAGCAACAAAAAAGTGGACGAAAAATAGACAACAAAGGTCATAAAGGCGATGGAAAAAGGTGTCAAAAAGAGGCGAAAAAAAAGGGAATTAAAAAATGTGCAAAAAGTCTCACCGAAAAAAAAGGAGACAAAAAGGTGAGAAAAAGTACGGTACAGAAATAATAACAAAAAAAAGGGCAACTAAAGAGTCAGAAAGTCATAAAAAATGACAAAAACTGGTAGAAAAACGAATTAATAAGGGGTCCAAAAACAAAAGGTGAAAGAAAGCGCGAATGAACTTTCCAAAAAAAAAACAAAAAGTTGACAGGGAGGTAAAAAAAATATAACCAAAAAAAGGAGACTCCAAAAAAAAGGAACAAAAAAGTCACCAAAATCGACCGAAAATTATTCTAAGAACAGATGAAAAAAAGCAACAAAAAAAGGGGACAAAAAAGAAGATAAAAAAAGCGAGAAGAAAAAGGACCCAAAAAACTCACCAAAAAATAGGCGAGAAAAAAACTCCAAAAAAAAGGGCGAAAAAAAAAGGGAAAAATTAAAAAAGGGGACTCCAAAGTTTTAAAAATCCCCCAAAAAAGGATAAAAATGCACTATAAAAACTACTCAAAAAGATTCGGGAAAAAGCAACAAAAAGGTGGACGAAAAATAGACAAAAAAGGTCTTAAAGGCGATGGATAAAGGCGTCAAAAAGAGGCGAAAAAAAAGGAATTAAAAAAGGTGCAAAAAGTCTCACTAAAAAAAAAGGAGACAATAAAAGGTGAGAAAAAGTACGGTACAGAAATATTAACAAAAAAAAGGGCAACTAAAGAGTCAGAAAGTCATAAAAAGTGACAAAAATTGGTAGAAAAACCAATTAATAAGGGGTCCAAAAACAAAAGGTGAAAAAAGCGCTAATGAACCTTCCAAAAAAAAACAAAAAGTTGACAGGGAAGTAAAAAAAATGTAACCAAAAAAAGGAGACTCCAAAAAAAAGGAACAAAAAAGTCACCAAAATCGACCAAAAATTATTCTAAGAACAGATGAAAAAAAGCAACAATAAAAGGGGACAAAAAGAAGATAAAAAAAGCGAGAAGAAAAAGGACCCAAAAAACTCACCAAAAAATAGGCGAGAAAAAAACTCCAAAAAAAAAGGGAAAAAACTAAAAAAGGGGCTCTAAAGATTTAAAAAAGCCCCCCAAAAAGGACAAAAATGCACTAAAAAAACTACTCAACAAAAAGAGGCGGGAAAAAGCAACAAAAAAGTGGACGAAAAATAGCAAAGGTGCAAAAAGTCTCGCCGAAAAAAAAGGAGACAATAAAAGGTGAGAAAAAGTACGGTACAGAAATAATAACAAAAAAAAGGGCAACTAAAGAGTCAGAAAGTCATAAAAATGACAAAAATTGGTAGAAAAACGAATTAATAAGGCCAAAAACAAAAGGTGAAAAAAGCGCTAATGAACCTTCCAAAAAAAAAAAGTTGACAGGGAGGTAAAAAAAAATGTAACCAAAAAAAAGGAGATTCCAAAAAAAAGGAACAAAAAAGTCACCAAAATCGAGCAAAAATTATTCTAAGAACAGATGAAAAAAAACAACAAAAAAAGGGGACAAAAAGAAGATAAAAAAGCGAGAAGAAAAAGGACCCAAAAAACTCACCAAAAATTAAGCGAGAAAAAACTCCAAAAAAAAGGCAAAAAACTAAAAAAGGGGCTCTAAAGATTTAAAAAAAAAGGACAAAAATGCACTAAAAAAACTACTCAAAAAGAGACGAGAAATCGCGACCAAAAACGGAGCGACACAAAAAGGCGATTAAATACGCGACAAAAAAAGACGAGGAAAACAAAAGAACGAATTAATAAGAAAAAGAGATGAGAAAAAGCAACAAAAAAAAGAGGGAAAAAATGGCAAAAAACGAAAAAAAGTAACAAAAAAAGGACCCAAAAAACCTCCGAAAAAAACAGCCACAACAAAGCTCCAAAAAAAGGCGACAGAAAAGGAAAAAAAAATTAAAAAGGGGACTTAAAAAGATTTTAAAAAGTCCCCAAAAAAAAACAAAAACACGCTAAAAAAACAACCCAAAAAGAGGCGAGAAATCGAGACCAAAAATAGACAGAGAAAAAAGGCGATTAAATACGCGACAAAAAAGGTCAGAAAAAAAAGAACAGATTAAAAAGAAAACGAGATGAGAAAAGCAACAAAAAAAGTACCAAAAAACTCTCAAAAAAAAAAATTGGCGACAAAAAAGCTCCTAAAAAAATTGATAAAAAAGATTTTAAGAAAGTCTCCAAAAAACTGCAAAAATGTGCTAAAAAACGACACAAAAAGAGGCGAGAAAGCGCAACCAAAAACAGAGCTACAAAAGAGGCGATAAAATACTTGACAAAAAAGGCCAGGAAAAAAGAACAGACTAAAAAAGAAAAGAGATGAGCAAAAGCAAAAAAAAAAGGATGACAAAAAAAAAGACAAAAAAAAGCGGAAAAAAGGTAACCAAAAAAGGACCCAAAAAAAAACTCTCAAAAAAAAATAGGCGACAACAAAGCTCCAAAAAAAAGGCGAAGAAAAGGGCAAAAAATAAAAAAAGGGGATTGAAAAAGATTTAAAAAAAGCCGCTATAAAACCGATACAAATGGACTAAAAAAACGACCCAAAAACAGGCGAGCA